GGTTACCGGGATAACAGTAGTAGGTATCATAGTATATTTCATTATCTTTATAACAGTTGTTCTTTCAATCATGTATATTAAAATAAAATGAAATGCAGAACATTATAGAACTTATCAAAGCAGAATATTGAATAGAGCAGTACCATTAATCAGAATAGAGCAAAACAGTAATGAAAATATTTGCCTTCAAAGAGATGGTAGAAGGAAATCCCCCTTATTTGCTATGGTCAACTTCCCAGGAGATGCTCAGATTTGTGGTTCCCATTTGCTAATGGGGGGGGGTGGAGACAGAAGAAGTGGGGTAGGGGAAGTGGGATGTTTGACTCTAGGCTGTGCACCAGTAGGTTCACTGTTGCTTAGCAGGGAGGCAGGCTGGTTGCTTGGTTTCCCAGCTTCGTAAGTTCCAAATGGTGTGGATCTCAGAAGACACTGGTGGTTCTCCCCTTGGAAGGGCCGTACTCTGTCACACTGCAGCCACTTACCAGGGAGGAGAGGTGCTTGCTTGGCTTCCTAGCGTCACTAAGTTCCAACATGGCGTGGATCTCAGGAGCCACTGGTGGTTCTCCCACTGGAAGGGCCGCAGTCTGCCACATCACTGCTGTTTACCAGAGAGGCGAGCTTCTTGCTTGGTTTCCCAGTGTCCTAAGTTCCAACAAGGCGCAGATCTCAGGAGACACTGGTGGTGCTTATCAGGGAGGGGAAGTGCTTGCTTGGCTTCTCAGAGTCCTAAGTTCCAACATGGCGCAGATCTCAGGAGCTACTTGGCAGTTCTCCCCCTGGAAGGACTGCAGTCTGCCACACCACCGCTGCTTACCAGGGAGGGGAATGAAGTGACCTCTCTTGACAACCTACTCCGTATTTGAGAAATCCCAAAACTCTTTTTTTTTGCTTCTTCTTCTTTTTTTTTTTTAATTGGTACCAGGGATTGAATTCACGACTGCATGTTTACAAAGTAGGCGTTTATGCCACTGAGCTAAATCCCCCACCCCCAATATTCTTTACTGCTATCCCAGTGGGTGTCTTGATTACTTTTATCTCATTTCTGAGACAAAATACTTGATGCCCAAAATGAAGGAAGGAAAAGTTTATTTAGTTTATAATCGTGGAGTCTTGGAGTTACCCAAGGCAGGGTAGCATGGCTGAGGGGCAGCCATTCATGGTGGTTACAAGCAATGAGAACTAAAAGGGCAAAAAAGAAAGCACACCTCCTTCCCTCCCTTATATCCTCCCCTGGGCAGGTGCAGCACTCACCACAACAATCGCAGTGCTAGACAGTGAGCCAATTACATGGAGACTTAGCCACTTCTATGATTGCATTAGACTTTAGGGGAACACCAAGACACAAACCATAACATTCTACCCTGCCCGCCTGACTCATGAACATCCTTTATGCCCATCTCTAAGAGTTGCCAAAGTCCTAACAGTTTCAGCATTGCTGAAAAGTCCCAAGTCTCCAAGATCTAAGGCAAATTCTTAGCTAAAAGCCCCTGTACAGATGAAACAACGTCAAACACTTCCAACATTCAATGGTACAAGAAAAACATTACCATTTCAAAGGGTACAAATGAGGATACAAAGGAATGGACCTGAAGGAAGTCCAAAATCCAGCAGGGCAAACATCATGTCCTGGAGTTCCATGCTCAGCATCTGAAGCAATCTGGTTTTGAGCTCTAAAAGGCTTGAGTGACTCCACCCCTATGACACTTCCGGTGTCTGTAGCTCCCATAGCTTCTCTCGTAGGCCCACTTTGCTCAATCCTTGCAGCTTTCCTTAGATGATCCATGTTCCTGGCTATTCCAAACTTCTGGATTCTCTATTGCACCTTTGACTTCACATTCACAGCTTCACACACTGCCCTCTCAGGGCTCCTAGGTCTTCTGAAATAGGTATGGGGGCCTTTTAAATCTCAGAACTCTTGCATTCTATATGCAGCTAAAACCAGTGCCATGAGGTCTGCTGCCAGGTGGAGCAGTAGTCAGGCTTTCCTCATTCTTGGCCATAGGGGTTGGCTGCCTGGGTTACTGAGCATTCTGAGCCTGATTCTGAGGGACAGATTCTCTGGTGTTACCATTCTGGAACCTGGTGTGGCCACCACCATTTGGAACCTCATGTGGCCTCTGCCACTATTCTGGAACATGGTGCTCTGTGCCTTTCTCCTCTGAGCAAAGTCCTTCACTTTTGCAGTTTTGAGGCTGCAAAGGGTGACAACCCACTGCTTCTCAGGATGTCCCCAGACCATCTTTTCTATTCTGTTCCTTCTCAGCAGTCAAGATCTCAGGTGTATTTTTATAGTCCACAGCTTTATTGGATTTTTTTTGGATCAAACTTGAAACATTTTAAATCATTCTGCTGGGCTGTTTGCTCTTAGTTCACAACATAAATCTGGCTCAAAGCCCCTAACAATAGCCATGCCACATCTCAACATATAACTGCCTTGAAATTTTGTCTGCCAGGTTAGTTAGTCCAGCACCCTTAATCTCAGTCTCGGGCAAAGTCTCTGGACACGAGCAAAATGCATACAGAATTTCTGTCACGCCATAGCACACATCATCTGGAGTCCAGCAACCAGTGCAGTCCTTCCAAGCAGAAACCTCCCTAGCCATCCCTTTAATGGCAGGATTTCTAGCAGCCTTCTGGTCTCTGAGCTCTGACCAGAATCTCTCATGCAGAACAGCCTAAAATGTTCCAGCTCTGCTTCTTCAGGTAACATCTCTGAACCTTTCCAAACTCTTCCCATAAGCCATTCCCAAAGGCTTTTGAACCACACAGTCAGGTATAGTCACAGCAACAACCCTACTCCAAATTCTGTCTTGGTTACTTTTCTCTCATTGCTGAGACAAAATACTTGATGCCCAAAATGAAGGAAGGAAAGGTTTATTTAGCTTACAATTTGTAGAGGTTTCAGTCCATATTCAGCTGGCTCCAAGGCAGGGTGGTATGGCTAAGGGATAGCCATTCATGGTAGCTACAAGCAACAAGAGCTAAAAGGGCAAAAAGGAAAAGTATACCTCCTTCCCTCCCTTATATGGTATACCAGTTACCCGTCCCTGGGCAGGTACAGTATTCACAACACCAATCGCAGTGCTAGACGATGAGTCCATCACAAATACTAGAATCAGCCACTACCATGACTGCATTAGGCTTTGGGGGGACACCAGGACACAAACCAAAACAGTGGGGTACCCTGGGAGGACTTCTGTCTGCTAGGGAATGTGTGCAGCACTCAGGAATCCAGTGCACTTCAGATTCAGGAGATCCAAATGGCAGCTATAGCTGATGAATGCGGCCAGAGCTTCACGGTGGCCAAGACTGGTCTGAGCTCCAGTGAGACCATTATTGCCTCTTTCCCGGAAAGGGAAGGGCAGGCAGCAAGCTGCTTGGAAGAAGATGGAGCTGCGGCTGAGAAAGGTGGTGAGAACATTTGGCACAACCAAGTTAGACACAGGCGGGGGCTGGTGTCATTACAGTCTGGAGGGCCAGCAGGTGTCACTGAGGCACTGGAAGCTCCTGCTGCAGGCTGAGTTGTGACCAGACTGGGGTCCCTATGCATGCAGGCAGTTAATCTTCGAAGGCCAGAGTCCCGCTTCTGGAGAGCAGGAGCATTGAACTTTTCAATCACATTAATTTTCACAGGAAATTGTTGTCTTCCTTTTGTCTTGAGGTTAGTGATTTATGTTTACCATCCTCTTAACTAGCCTTGAAATTTACTGTTGCCAGGTCACTACCGGCATCCATAAATTTCAGGGTGGCAGCTGAGCACAGCCAAGTGGCTCGGTCGTTGGAAAGGTACATACTGGCTCTTTCAAGAGAGCAGACATCTAGGTATAGACGATCCTCGCACAGATGTCCCCACACGGGTGGCCATTCACTTCTCAGGGGAAGCAAGATGGCATCTGTTGTACAAGGTTGTAAGAAGGCCTCTGTAGAAGCAGCTGTGGTGGAGGCCTCGGGGTTTAAGGCTTTCTGCACATCCCTGAAGGAGACCATGTAGTCCAGAAGGACTATGAAACTTAGGGTTGGAAGCATAGGCCAAATGCCCATCTCTGCACTCCCAAGATAAGTGACTGGAGGCAGGCCCCTTAACCTCAGCCTGCCTGTTTCCTCGTGCAGAGTAAGAATGCCTGCCTACTCTTGTTGGCAGTACGTGTAGGCTGTGTTGTTCTCTGATAGAACAAGACAAGCGTGATATCTGCCAGAGTCAGTTGCTCACGTCCCTGCTTATACTGATTTGTCCATTTCTCCTCTTAAACCCTTCTTCCATCTGTTCATATAATTAGAACCGGGACTGACCACCTTTTTCTGTAAAAGGCCAGTAATATTTTGGGCTACATGAGCCATGTGGTCTGTGCTGAGCTACTCATCACTGCTGATTTAGCAGGAAAGTAGTCAGTCATATGCAATAAATAAAGCAGATGAGCATGGATGTGTTCCAATCAAACTTTATTTGTGGGCACACAAATTTAAATTTCTTACAGATTTTCATATATCACAAAACTGGTTTTTTTTTTTTTTTTTTTTTTTGTCTTTTTCGTTTTTATCAGTACTAGGGATCGAACTCATGACGGCCTGCTTGCAAGGCAGGCGCTTATGCCGCTGAGCTAAATCCCCAGCCCCACAAAACTATTTTTTTTAACTGTTTAAAATGTAAAAGCCATTTCATTGCATAGGCCATGCAAAAACAGGCACTGGGCCTCATTGGACCCATCGGTCGTAGTTGCTTGTTTGCCTGGTTTGCCTGAAGAGGCAGTCATTTTGCCCTCCTGGACCATCTTCGTGGCACTAAGGAAAGGTGTGTATGTGGGTTTTCCAGTGTCACCACAGTGCCTCCTGAAGGGTCTGTAGAAAGGTAGGAGTCCCATGAGAGCCTGAGGCACAGGAGCTTGTGGGGGGCCTGGGGCTGGTACCCTTGGTTCTCTGCCTCTGGCACCCATGGAGCTTGCTCTGGATTGGTCAGAGCCCCCATCCTGCCTTTCATGTTGCCTATTGTGTCTGTATTTCAGAGAACAGCTTCAGCCAGCGTGGGAAGGAGGCAAGGAATCAACGACCTGTGGTGATTCTCTTGGGCTGGGGTGGCTGTAAGGATAAGAATCTGGCCAAGTACAGCGCCATCTACCATAAAAGGGTGAGTACTCAAAGCAGTGGGCTCCCAGTGTACCTGCCCTGCCACCTCTGTGGGGAGCCTGAGCCTCTGAGCCTTCCCTTAGAGCTGCAGTGAAGCCTGACTTCCGTGGCAGGCCAAGGAGTGGTGTCCAGAATAGTCTTTGAGGAAGACAGTGGAGTCATGGAGACTTCGGCAGCATTATCTCCCTCTGCTGCCAGCTCAATGTCTTAGTTGGCCAGAAGTCCTCCCACCTGTTTGCCCTTCCTCCCTTCCTGGGTGGATTTCCTATTCTCAGGACTTTCTCCTTTTCTGACTAGGTAAGTTTCTGCCTCAGGACTGACCAGGGCACCTTTCCCGTGCTGAGTCAGAGGACCTCTTTTTATGCTGCACTGAGCATTGGATAGCAGGCTGTGGTACCTGGAAAGAGCCTTGGTTATGTACTGGAGGCTCCTTTTATATCCTTGACCTCTGGATCTGTCCTGCCCTGCCCTCTGTGGCCTCCTCAGGCCAGGTCTGTCTAGCAGGGCAGTAGTGCAGAGAGCCCCAGGCCGAGGAGCCACCCGGGAGAAAGGCTGGCTGGTGTGTCCCTCCTTGGCCTCCCTTCACTGGCCTCCACCTGCTCTTCCCTCTTGGTGTACAGGTCTCGGAATGGGAGAAGGGTTGGGCGAGAAACGTGGAGGTTTTTGTTTTTTCGGGGAGATACTAGGAATTGGATCCATGGTAGACAAGTGATCCACCACTGGGATACTTCCCAGCCCTTTTTAATTTTAGGACAGTGTCTTACTAAGTTGTTAAGTTGCCCAGACTGGCCTTGAGCTCAGTCTTCCTCCTTCAGCCTCCTCAGTATCTGGAGCTCAGGCGTGTAGCACTGACCCTGGCAGAAGTGTAGTTTTCAGTTTGTAGCCTCCTCAGGCCTTAGTGTTGCCCTTTGCAGATTGCCTCACTCCACAGGTAGCTTTAGCTCCTGAATTCCATTTGTAGGCTAGGCTTGTTCTTCTGGCTTCTGCATTAGACTAAAGACCCTCAAGGGCAGAGGAGGAGCGGGAATCGTTGCGTATGCCTAGAACAGAGAAGGAAAGAAATTGTGTGTCTGTAGTGAGGTTGGGTGGGGGCACTGAGGGGGTTTGTACAGAGGTGTGAAGTTGTGTTTGTCACCTGGAAAGCCCCTCTCTGCAGAGTGGTGAAGGTTTGCATGTGCTGGGAGCCAGAAGCAAGTTTGGAGGGGCTTGCAGTGACATAGGCAGAGTGGGCTCATGATCTTGGGGTTGTCATGGCAAGTGGAAGAAGATGAGGGATGGAGGAGATGGTTGTGAGGTAGAATAATGAGTGAATGAGAGGTTTAGAGTGAGCAGGGATGAGGGGTCCAGGGTCATGCCTGGTTTCTGACTTAGGCATTTTCTCGGGAGAAGTGGTATTTTTGAGACAGGAGCATTTGAAGCAAATTTGTAGATTCTAGGACAGATGAGATCCCCAGGGAATGTGGAAAGGGAAAGAAGTGGGCCTGGTACAGCCCTGAGGAACCCAGACTTAAAGTAGGAGTGGCAGATGAAGAGAGGAAAAGAAAGGAGAGGAGAGGAGAGGAGAGGAGGGGAGGGGAGAGAGGGGAGGGGAGGGGAGGGGAGAAAGGAGGCATGGCCAGGGGTGCACAGGGAAACTCAGGAGCCTGTGACAGACGCCACAGAAAGTGAGTCTTTGGGAAGTGGGCCATGCAGGCGAAGGAGTGAAGGTGTGATGCAGGTAGAAGGCGTGGGGGAAGGTGGGTGGAACAAGATCCCAGGGAAGGGAGAAGGGCAGAGGCTGCAGGGTTAGTGAGGTCAGCCTTGGAAGGGAAGAGGCTGCTTTCAGCCTAGGAAGGATGGGATAGGGGCTTGAGAAGAAAAAATATGTTCAGTTCAAAGCTTCATTATTTCAGAGAAAATAAAAACACTGTATTCTCCCACCCAGACCTTACCTCTGCTGCTACTTCAGGTAGGTGTACCTTTCCAGCTTCTTCCTATGAGATCTTCTCTTGGCTTGAAGGTGATCTGTTGAGTGTACTGGTTTGTACCTTGCTTTTTCAGATCATAATCTCCACCATCTCAAGGTAATAATGTTTCATCTCTAGTTTTCTAGTCCATGTTCAGATGCCTAATTGTCCCCAAAATGTCCTTTATGGCTGATTTGCTCAAAGTGGATCATGCATTACATCTAGTTCTTTTGTTCATTAATCCCCTTTCTCATGATTAAAAAGTCTCTCTTGTTTTGGCTTACTAAAGGTTGCAAAGGAGTGTTTCCAGAAGTGTATAATCCCATGTGCTGCCTGGAGAAGAGTGCAGGGCCTCTGTCAGGTTTGATACTGTAGGAATGTGGGTGACCTTAAGTGACACCTCTTCTTCAGAATCTCAGGAGCTGCAGGGCCTAGCAAGTCAGGGGACTATGGCAGGTGACTATCATGGTGGGCTGTGGGTCATTTCGGAACCTTGCCCACATAGTTTTCTGCTTGTTGTTACTGCTATTACCTGTCACTCTCACTCTTGGTTCAGAGTTTACTTTGTCCTGGGTGCTGTTGAGGTCTCTTGAGGTATACTTTTTCCCATTTAATTTCTACTGTGACCTGATGAGATGGGTGTTATCCAGAATGTAGGTGGCATGCAGACTCAGAAAGAAGAAATAAATTGCTCTTTGTCCATGCTGTTAATAAGTGGTAGGGCCAGGAGTTAAAGCCAGACTGTCTGACCCCAGAGTCTGCCCATTTCAGATTCCCCTGATGAAGGATACTTTCTTTCTAGAAGAGGGTAAAGAGGAGAGCTTAGCACACAAATAGAGTGGCTTTTCATCCTTTTCTTTCTTTCTTTTTTTTTTTTTTTTGTCTTTTTATCGGTACCGGGGATTGAACTCACGACTGCCTGCTTGCAAGGCAGGCGCTTATGCCACTGAGCTAAATCCCCAGCCCCAATCCTTTTCTAACTGGAAAGGGACCAATCTGAAGGTTTTGGGGTACACATGGCCTGGACAGTGAGGATGATAAACTGTGAAGTGTTTGGGATCAGATTTTTAAAATGAGAAACAGCAGTATTTACTATATTTGGAATTCTAGGGTAAGTGTGAGGATTGGTAGTAGACCTGGGAACCAGAGAGAAACTTGGGGGTCAGGCCTCTAAGTCCCTAAGTGTAATTCTTCTTCAGTGCTGAGGGAAAGGGTGGGTCTGGAGTGACCAGAGATATCAGGTAGCCCCAGTTCAGAAGGCCTCTAGTAGTGAAGCTGTAGGTATTGGTTTCATGGAGATGCCTACTAAGCCTGGGAGGTAGGGATGGTGTAGGCAGTCCCTGCACAGGCTGTGGGCAGCCAGCAGCCTCACATGAGCTGGGTTTGGGGTGGAGGCTGGGGGTGGGGGGGCAGGTGTGGGAAACCAGTGTGAAGAAGCTTCTGGTCAATCCAGATGCTCCCAGTCCCAGCCTCCAGTTCCTCTTAGGCTGAGGGATGTGGCCAGCATAAAGCAGTGAGCCCAGCAATGAGCCCAGCAGTGAGCTTTTCCACTCTGGGAGGGCAACTGTATTGATTAGTAGTAGGCTGGCATCTGGTGAAAGCAGGGCCTAAAGCATTGCTGGAATCTGTGGGTGCTCTGGAAGTCAGGCTGGTTGGTCCCCTGTGACTTAACCCCTTGACCCCTGCAAATCACCCCTGGGGACTGACTAGTCCTCTTTCCTCTCCCCAGGGCTACATCGTGATCCGATACACGGCCCCTTGGCACATGGTCTTCTTCTCTGAGTCTATGGGCATCCCTTCACTTCGTGTGTTGGCCCAGAAGCTGCTTGAGCTACTCTTTGATTACGAGATTGAGCGGGAGCCCCTGCTCTTCCACGTGTTCAGCAACGCTGGTGCCATGCTATACCGCTACGTGCTTGAGCTCCTGCAGACCCATGGGCGCTTCTACCACCTGCGTGTGGTGGGTGTCATTTTTGATAGTGGTCCTGGTGATAGCAACCTAGTAGGGGCCCTGCGGGCCCTGTCAGTCATCCTGGAGCACCGACCTGCCTTGCTGCGCCTGTTGTTTCTGGTGGCCTTCGCCCTGGTAGCAGCCCTGTTCCGCATTCTGCTTGCTCCACTCACTGGCCTTTTCCACACCCACTTCTATGACAGGCTACAGAACGCAGGCTCCTGCTGGCCTGAGCTCTACCTCTACTCAAGGGCTGATGTGGTGGTACGGGCCAGGGACGTGGAACGCATGGTGGAAGCACGGCTGGTCCAGCAGGTCCTGGTGCGTTCTGTGGACTTTGTGTCATCTGCACACGTCAGTCACCTCCGTGACTACCCTATTTACTATGCAAGCCTCTGTGTTGACTTCGTGCACAGCTGTGTCCAGTGCTGAGCTCCTACCTCAGAAATAAATGCCTGATACCTTCCTCAACCACATCTATCCCGGGGGCCTACTGATGGTCTGCCTAGGGTCCTAGGGGCAGGAGCACCTGGACAGGTTTCTGTGGCAGCCTTGCAGTTGGTTGTTTGGATAAGTACAGCAGTTAGGCTGCTGATTCCTGTGGCTTTCAGGTTATAAAAGATTAACAAAGCCAGGAGAAGGTTAAGGATAAGTCTGAGTTGATTTTCTAAAAAATCAGTTGTGGTAAGAACTCTTAACGTAGTATCTTCCATCTTAAAAATCCAAGTGTAAGCTTGGTGTCATGGTGAATACCTATAATCATAGACCTATGGGAAGCTGAGGCAAGAAGAGTGCAAATTCAAGCCCAGCCTGAGTAACTTAGCAGGTTAGTGAGGCAGTCTCAAAATTTAAAAGAAATACAATGTGGGCATATAGCTCAGTTTCATTCCTAGTACCAAAAAAAAAAAAAAAAAAAAAAAAAAAAAAAAAATCCAGTACACACTAAAAGTGCAGTGTTGTGCAGCAGATCTCAGAAACTTAATCATTTTACACAACTGCACCTTTTCACCTGTGGCTAGAGTTTGGATTTCCTGAATGGAAGGTCAGCTTTATGGTGAGGTTATGGAAGGCAAGGAGAGGAACTCTGTACTTCTGTGCTCTCTCTCTTCCAGAGGGCAAACCACGCAGAGGAGGTTCCTCTGACCTTGGCCCTAGAGCCTGAAGGATAGTACATGAGGAGCTGAGGCTTCAGGGTTCAGGGCTGCCTAGCTTCAGCACCTCAGCTAATGGGGAGCTAAGAGTCTGCTAAGCTAAGAGTCTACTGGGTCTGGAGAGGTGAACTGGGGTGCAGGAAGGCAGCTGTGCTTCAATGGGAGCTGCAGTAAGTTGGCCCTGCACCCTAAGACCAGGACCAGGGTAAGGGGGTTTTTGGTTGAAGTACTTTTGTCTCCATATACTCTTCAGGCAGAGAGATGGCTTCAGCCTTGTAGTTCTGTACCTCTGTCATTCTGCAAATCACTGTTACACAATGCTGGAACAATGTGAGTGTTTAATAAATATCTGCTGATGGAATTTACTGTGGTGATCAAGAGGCTTGGAGGCAGGGTGGGCTTTGAAACTGTGGCAGGCAGTGAAGATGGCTACAAAGCTCTGAGTGGGAGCCAACCCTTGATATCCTTGGGGTGACTTCCCGTCCCCAGGGCCAAGTGCCACCCTGCAGTGCAGCCGACCTCTAGGGTAATCTTCCTACCGTGGCTGCGATTCCTAGACATGGCCAACAGGTGGCAGTGCTGCATGCGCCATGCGATAGCTTGTGGCTCCCACAGTAGGGTGAGCTTCGGTAGAATGCCTTCACTGTGGGTCACTGTGCTCTACTAGACTGTGTATAGTCCCAGATGGGAGTGAACAGCCATCAAGGTCCTACTGAGTCCAAGGCAGAGGGGATGGCAGACACAGAAGGACTCATCCTGACAAGTTTTGTGAGCCTCTTTTCTTCTTATCCTACTGCCCTCACATCCTATCCATGCTTCCAAACATGCCTCCTTCCTCCAGACCCTTAGCCACCCCTGAACTTTCAGAGTCCACATGCAGCCCTTGTGATGAGGCCTCAAGATCTGTGCTCAGGATACTGAATGTCACCACATTGGGCATAGAGCTGTGTAGGGCCTTTCCTGGGCTCCAACCATGTACAGCTTGTCTCCTGTGCCTCTCTGGGTGCAAAAGCGGGAGCCAACTAGACTGGACTTGAAAGTATCCATTGTAGGCATCTTAGAGGTTGGTATGGCTGAGAATGTGTTGAGAAATTTGGAGTCATGGACTATGGGCCCTTTGATTTTAACAGGATCAAGTTTTCTCCCATATTCTTCTGTGGGCAAAGATTCACCCGCAGCTTTGGCACCTGCTTGAGAGGTATCTAGGAATGCTGACCTACACTGGCGCGCGTGGGGGGGGGGGGCGGCAGCAGAATGACCGATAAGTTCCCCATTTGTAGTGCTAGTGGCCTAGCTGCAGCTCCCAATTTGGGGGGGTCCACTGCAGGATTGAGGCCATTGGCTCCCCTAGGCTGCTGGGTATTAGGATGATTATAATAAAAGCCTGGGAGGCTGACGATCATCCATTGAAATCCCTGGCACATTTCAGGAGACCAGAAAAGGACAGAGACCTGAAGCTTAGGTTTTCACCCAAGCCTGTAGCTGCTCTTGACTTACATTGAGGGGACAGAACTTATATCCCCTCTGTACCCCCAAGCTCTGACCTCTTGTGTGATTAATGAGCTGACGATTCTGCATCAATAAGGAATTAACCTAGAGCCCCAACCCATCAATATTCAGAAGCCCAAATCCTAAGCCCCACCCCCATGCCAGCCAAAATGCTCCAGGGCCCCTGAGCAGAGCAACTCTGAGTTAGTCCATCCCTTCACTGCTTCCTAGAATTAACCCAGATCTGCCTTAGTCCACTTCCCCTGCTATCAGCCCCCACCTTCCCAACATACATACGCAGGCAGCAGCTGTTTACATTGGTTTAATCCATGTCAAATGTAGTTTACAAAGGGAAAGGACAAGTACCTTTGTATAGAATATACAGACACAGCATCACACCATGGGGCACACAGCAGGGCAGGGAGACCACCTTTCCTTGGGAATAGTAGCTCTACTCCCAGGAATGGGTCATAGCAAAAGGCTAGGCACCCAGGAGCACCGTCAGCAGTCCAGACCTTGGCCTCTGCTTTAGCTCAGGTCCCAGGTCCTGCCCCACCCCAACTCCTCATAAACAGTCCCATGAGCTAAGACTAAGGAGAAGATCATGTCCCATGGGACATGGGCCTCACATGTGGGAGAAGAAATATACACCACTGAACACTGAGCACATAGGAAAGGAGAGGGACGCCATGGGAAAGGGAGAGGCAGGCAACCCAAGAGCTGGATGGGCCGAGCCCCCAGCCAGTCCCAAGGGAGGCACTGCTTCCAGAGGTTCCTTAAAAAAAGAAGAAAATCATACAACCAAGGGGAGGAGCTGAGGACAAAGGCGCTGTCCCATTTATACACAACATTGTAAACATACACAGTCTATATTACATGTGCTTCAGTCTGGTGTTTGCATGTCTGTCAGTCAGTCAAGTCAGTCTGGGAGCTGGATCTCAGGAGTCTCACCCTTAACACTCCCCGCCCCACCCTGGGAAAGAAGGTGGGAACAGACCCAAGCTTCACAGCCGGGGTCTCAGCCTCTATTCTGGCTCCAGAGTCCGTGTACGTGTGTGTGCACACGCACATTAGTGTATGTGCATGTATGTACATGGGGAACCTGTGTGCAAATATGTACAAGGGGAGAGGGTCACTGTCACACAGAGGCTGGGGGCGAGAGGGCTGCTCAAGGCAAGGCTGCCTGGGTGGTAGCTCACAAGTAGATCCTCCGCAGGTCTCCAGGTGCTGTGATCGTGTTGCACTGAGGGCACAGCTTCTTGGCACCCTGTGGGGAGGGGAGACTCTGGCTAAACAGAATGTGGCATACTGTCCATGTGAGCACCGGGGCCTGCAGCTCTGTCTGCACTAGTGTGTGCAGGCAGGCATATTCCTATGTTGGGGGGCCGCCAGGATCAAACCGCCTGGCCAGTCCCACAGCAGGAGCCCCAGTAATGAGAACAAGGCTGGGTCCAGCTGTGGCTGCCTCGGTCCTAACAAGATTACACACGGCCTTTGATCAGGACACAGAGCCCACGTCCGGGCCTTTTATTGCTGTCTCCAGGCGACATTTTAATGGCTGCTCCCAAGCGAAGAACAGGGGCAGGAGCAGAGGCGCTTAGTAATGGGAGGGGGAGGGGCACTGCATGCCCACCTCCAGCCTCTCCTGACGGAGGGCCTTACCAGTAGTGTGGTACCCTCAGCTTTCTGGGCACGGGGAAGGGAGAATTTAATAACCTTGTGGCTGAGACAGAACACAGTGAGCTTGGCGGGGTAAACATTTTGGTGGTGGCTCTGTTCTTTGCTCCCACTCTTCCTTGCCCCTCACTCCATATCTTTTCCAAGAAGGCGCAGCCCTGACAGGGACATCTGGACAGCACCCACACAACCACTACCCCTGACTTCCATGCCACCTCACCAGGGTCCGCAGCCAGCACTCCTCGCAGTGTACGTGCCAGCACTGGATCGATGTCAGGGGCATCGAGTATGAGTCCTAGAGTAGAGACAGGAGAAGGGGTTGCTAAGCCAGGTGCACTCTCAGAGAGCCCCAGATCACAGTGCAGAGATCCTCTGATTCCCCAGGAGACTACAAAGCCTGATCCAGAGCACTCCTAGGTTCTGACTCACCATGCAGATGAGGCATTTGTACCGGTCCCCCCGAGAGAGCTGCCGTTCAAGTTCCCTGACCCGAGCCTTCAGGGCCTCAAATGTGGTCACAGTGGAATCTTCAGTGATTCTGTAGAGGACACATAGTTGGGTAGCATGCTGGCATCCCCAATCTAACCTCCAGCCTGTACTTCTCTTTACTCCAAAGGCACATTATCTTAGCCACCCCACCTGCTCCTTCCTTGTGTCCCATGGCTGCAACCTCACGCTCCAGACCAGAGTGTCTCACTCTGCTCCTCCACCACTACCTCACGAACTTCCAGACCACATAACTGGGAATCATTCTTAATGATCCCTGCTCAGTGACCTAAAATTCCACTTCTTCTCAACATTACCACTACTAGTTTGGGGTACAGAGTTTCTTCTGTGGATCACTCCACTAGCCTGAACAAACAGCCTTCCTGCTCCTGTCTCTGCCCCATTTTGCCAACATCTACAACTACTTACATTTTAAAAAGCAAATCTGATCATTTTTATTCCAAACATTTCCAGTTTTCCCTCAAAGTAAAGTTCTACCAAACTCTTAGAAACCTGCCCCAACAGCCCAACTGCAAGGGTTTGTCTCCTTGGCCTAACTGCTTACTTACCCCATATTTACGATGGGCGTGAGCCCTACTTCAAGCATGTGAATGCAAGGAAACACCTACAGAGCAAGGAGCCAGTCCATCTTCCAGGGAAAGGGTGAGAGGTGTGGGATGGGACACGTCCCAGAGAATTCAGATCCTCCTGCGACAGGCCTGGTCTCCCTCAAGGACTCTGTTATTTCTACCTAGTACTGTCTTATGAACTGACAGTCCTCAGCTTGTCATCTAAGTCCCATACCCCAAGTCCCTACAAGTTTGACCACACTGCCAAACAGAGAATGGTCAAGACAAATCTCAAGGATCCCTCCCATCCGTCCTGAAACAAGTGAACAGGGCCTGGGGCACTCACAAAGGGAGAGGACTGCTTCCCTGAAAAGAAGTGATGGTACCAGAGGTGAGCCTTAGGGAATAATGATGAAAATAATACAAATAAAACAGCTGAAATTTATTAAGCACTTACTAAATGCCAGGGATTGTACTGCAGGACTGGTAATTATTATCTTATTTACACCTCACAAAACCCCATAGGAAGATTCTAATATTCCCACTTTATAGGCGAAGAAACTACAGCACAGGAAAACTAAGCTGTCTATTTAAGGTTCACAAAGTTTGGGGAGATGAGAGTCCAAGGCAGACTACCTCCACGATCAACTCTCAGCTGTGTGATTAATCATCACTGCACACTGGTTCTAAGGAGCTGGGTCTTCAGGCCAGGGGCACAGGAGAAACAAAGGCCAAGAAGCCCATGAATCCAGACTGGCTGGTAGGCTCTCCTGTAGGTAAGGAGAAGACCCTAAAGTGAGAAAGACAACCCGTCCAGCAGGACAAATGCCATGCATGCTTAGGGACCAATATTTATCTCACAGGCAACAGGAAGTTGTGGAGGATGTTCAGAGAGGAGACAGAGAGAAAATAGCTAAGGTTTAAAAGATGCATTCAGCTGGGTGTGGTGGTCACACTTATAATCCTAGCACTTAGGAGGCTGAGGCAGGATAGCCGAGTGTGAGGCCAGCCTGGATTAGTAAATTCAAGGCCAGTCTGAACTAGGTAGACCTTGTCTCAAAAAACAAAAACAAACAAAAGATGCATTCTATCAGGATGCCATGCCAGGTGGGTAGAGGCTGCAGGTAGAACCACAGTAAGG